GTAGCATGGCTAGGATTGTAAAGAGCTAATGAAAAATTACTCGTCAAAAGAAGATTGCGAGCATTTATAGCTTCTGCCTCTGCCTTATTAATGGTGTGGAAGCAATCTATCAAATTTCTAGAATAACAAGGGGGAACAGGCCAAGTTTGGCCAAAACCAAGTTGACGAGTAAAAAATTGGGGAGCATATATTTCAACCCCCAGCTTTAGCATTGGTTCCAGTCAAAATATCATGGAACAACTCCCTCCCTGTCAAAAACTGAACCAAATGAGCAGAGAGGTGCTCGCGCTGTCCAGAGTGGATGGGGGTTGCACATAATCTGGAGTTAAAAAGGGAGGAAAAGGAAAGAAAGAAGGAATCGAATTCAAAGTATAAAAGAATGAAAAAATGTCCCTTCTGAACATATTTACAGGGCTAGTGGGCCAATAGTTAGCCCATAGCAGCTAGCGGAAGAAAGGGAAAATGATAGAGCACCAAGTGAGGGAAAATAGGCTCTCAACCATATTTGAGTGAACCAAAGAGGCCCACTGCTAGCTGGAGACGCACCATTCTTCAATTGGAATTGGAAAGAAGCCATGCCTCTATAGAGGACAGTCAAAAAGAAAAAACACAAATTCAGGGGCTTACCACGCACCAATTCGTGAGCTATAGGTAAATAGCTCATAGAAGGCTTCATGCTTGGCACACACAGAACATATTTACAAAGCCAAATCTGAATAAAGGCACACACTCAGCATGGGAAGGCTCAGCGCTTAAGTGATTATAACAGCTTTACAGGCTTGAATAGGACTCGGTGAGTTTTCTGTCAAATTTTGGGGCGACACCAGAAATCAAAATATCAGGGAAAATGGTATTATCCAAAGGTGGCAAATTTACTAAGGCCCCAACATCCCTTAAAGTAATGGACATGGGATCAAGAGGGAAAACAAAAGTATTATACTCAGAGGACCAAAAACTTAATGCAATAGAGAAAAGCCCTGAATAAAAAATAAGGGGTTGAGGAGAGATTTCTAACAAATCAGAAATCCTAGCACTATCAAAAATTGCCTTAGTAGGACCATGGTCTACAAGACGAGCATACCATCTACGGAAAACGACATCAGATTTAGGCCAAGTATGAATACCTCTTTCGCGAAGCGGCCTCAGCGGCAAAGAGTTTAGAAACGGAGGGCCTTGGGTACAAGGGAATAGCTGGCCCACCGCCACTTGTTCGACGACCTCGGCGTTGTTGAATGAAGGACCTAGATAGAACTCATTGAGTTCAGCATTGGCTGGTGCAAGGAAGTTAGGAGTTATATATGGTCGAGTGAGGAGTTTCTGGAAGTCTTCGAAACTGAAAGAGTCACCAGATTGAGATTGTGAAGAAGCCATTAGGAACGAAATAAAACTTTGTTGAAATTTGCTCGAGAAACGTATCAGAGAACAGTAATATTGCGAGAGAGAAGCGCGAAGCAATGAGGCGTGATTTAGTAGTGCGATGAAATGACGTGTATTTTTGGGTTATAAGGGTTTGCAACGTCGCACCTTTTCAGGCTATGGAAGAAAATAATGATTGAAATTCTTGGGAATTTCAAATGTTGCTGGGAAACACAAAGTGAATATAACAAAAATTAATAATTGGTATTAATTTTGCCATATTGGGAGGTAATTGTTGACACACTAAAAGTGCAGCCCAATTCGAATAGCCCAAAGAATGAAACCCAACTGGACAATTCAGGATAAAGGCCCAAATAGGGTTATTAATGAATGCAGTGGAAGCCCACGAACGCAGTAATACCATTGCCCAAATTTGCAAGACGCCCAAAATCTAAGCGAATGAAGTTCATTGCAGTCGCCTAGAATTATGACCCTGTTCTCGCCCAAATCTTCGAATCGCCCAGGATCTTAGCAAACATAAGATATTATGGTTATCCAAAAGTGCAATTATCAAAGCAGTTATTGGATAATCTTATCACGTTTCACGATTCAAGGATGTTCAGTTGAGAACGGTTGAACGACAAAGAGTAATGGCAGCAGTTAGAGACGGCAGTTCCACGATAAGTTGGCCACTATGAAAAAAGTAGGCAGTTATAAAGCAATCAAACGGTTTCTAAGCGGTTGATCACAAAGAGAACATCAAAGGAATATAAAAGGAAGAAAAGACATAGAGCAAAGGACCCCGAATCAAACACTCTCAAATAGAGAATATGTAGTTTCAATTTCTTAGTTTAGACTTTAAACATTTCTTTTCAGTACTCGTGTGCTTGCGCTCCTTGGAGGCATTTCTGTTTAAGTTCCAATTGTAAAGTCATTGCCAATAAAACACCCCTTTTTGGGACTTTGTTTCAAGAGGTTTATTCCTTACACAATCGTCTGATCCCTTTTAATTGTTAACGACTACCCGCGCGAAACACCTACTCTTTAAATTAGAAAATTAATTTAAAAATTCTCCTGAAACATGATTTTAAAGGTTGACTTTTATAAAGGAGAACATTTTATGTTTAAAGAGTCTTTGTAGATGCTTTCGTTGAAGTTGAAGTTGAAGTTGAAGTTGATTATATTTGTCGAAGTATCAAGAAGCAGTTGCTTAATTTTAATTTAGAGCATTTTTGTGCTTGCAATCAAATTAGACAGTGTTTTTATTCCTATATCCATCTAGTCCCTATTTTAGTAGACATGTCTCAAAGTCAAATTTCATTTGAAAATGACATGAATTTATCGTAATGCTGACACTATGGCGAATGCATCTAGTGTCGTGGATGTGTATATAGTTTACCATTGCCGACACTTGAGTCTTAAACATAGTAAAAGTTTATTTTATTTTATTTTTTAAAAATTATTAAGAATTGACTAAGTAGATGATCTGAACTCTCATGATTTTAATTTTTAAGTTTATTACATCAAAACACTTATGCTACTTGCTAAGATGATACTGTAATTCATCGAATAAAATTTTCTAATGTTACTAACGAAATTTCAAATAATGAAAACAAATAAGGAAAAATAACACGTTGCTACGCAAGGAAGAAGAAAAAGCGACTAAATCCTCGTTTGATTTTGATTTTTCAAGTCAAAAAATCAAATTTTTTATCTTTACTTAACATTTCAACTATCATTTTTGACCTCTTCATTCACATGTGAAATTTACTTTTCTCTCAAATCATAGAAAAAATTAATTCTCACAATCAATATCAAATATACTTTAAAAGAAGAAAAAGAAGAAAGTAGAAATGAAATTATTCAAGTAGAAAACTGAAGAGGCTCACGCCCCGTCATGTTATGCTCCAATAAAAATCCGCCACGTAAGTTGATAACTTGAAGAGATTTATTTATGGGTCCCAGAAACGTCGGCCTTGATTTATTCAATCAATGAAGGCGGTGTGAGAATTACAAACAAAGAGACACGTGACGAGATTCTCAACGAAAAAATTTCTCGAGATTTTCGAGAAGTTGGGTGAAGAGGAGTTGTATCGTACCATCTTTCAAGTGGGGCTCCGATCTCTATTCATGGATCCTTGTCGGTTTCTCGGATTGGGCCCATCCACTGGACAACTGGTCGGTTCTTTCAAGTTTCACTTTTTTTTATCATCATGAGAGTTGTGTACTTGATTTCACTCTTTGAGGCTTAAAACAAAGGGAAGAAAGAAATAAAAATATTGAGGAAAAAAAAAAAGAAAAATGTTTTTAATTGCTTACAAAAGAAAAAAAGTAGTTTGAAGTTTATTACTAATTTCAATAGTTTACGATAAAGTTATAAATCAACTCGAATATAGAGTATCATTATGTCTGAAGTCTTTCTCTTTAAGCATTTCGCTTTCCTTTAATCTTTAACTTGGACAAAACAACGTATGATGGTAATTATGCAAAGCTTTAGGTAGCAATCTTGAGAAAGCAAAGGTTGGGAAATGTGAGCAAGAAAGGTTGAACGCTTATTTCCTAGGTGGTGACATGTGGTCTACTTTGTAATGTGCAGAAACGAAAGTGATTTTAAAGATTTTTAATTTCGAGTACAATTTTGAAACCATTGAAATTTATTTAGTCATTTGGAGTAGTATATCAGTCACTTCTTGGTAATAGAAAAAGGTAAAAATCTTCCTCTACGTTTCTTTGTCATCCTAGGAACACCATGACCTAAGCTCTTTCATATGGTTAATTGACTTGTACACAATATATTAGTTGGAGAAAACCAATCCAAGTGATAGTGTTTTACCGAAGAAATTATTTACAAGCCCTGTTCAATGTATCCCATCTCTCCTCCTTGTATGGTTCTGCCACAAACTAATGTGTTCAAGTCTAAACTAGAGTACCGTTGGACCATTGGTCCATGCATTGAATCACAAGACACTTTTTTTTTTTTTTTCACTCCACACAACTAATCTTCTGCTTGATCATCTTGCGTTTTGTATCTTCTAACTACCCCACCAGCTTAACATTTATAAAATATAAAGATATTAAGCCATCAAGCCTAGCAAAATAACACATTTTCTGTAAAATTTTGCAGCAGAAATTCAAATAGTGTCAGACACTTAATCCCATGAGAGGAGTTCTAAGAAGCTAAGCAAGATGATACAAAATATGGTGGAAAAGGATAAATGGTCAGTTTGTTGTTTACTCTAAAGACAATAATAAGTTTTCTGTTCCTCTGTGATATCCGAATCGCCATATACTCAGAGTAATGCTGGAGACAGTGAAGAGGAGTATCAATTGCAGATTCACGGGCCAGTAAGAGTTCCTTGTGAGAAAGAATTGGTGGAGTACTTTCATGTTGTATTTGGTAAGATGAATTGGATAGCATTGGAAAGTTTTAAAGAATAAAATAAAGCTAAAATCTTGTTTACAGTAAGATCCAATTATGTCTAGTATTGTCAAATTTGATTTAAAGGCTTAAACTGTTGGAAATAGCCACATGTATATCATTTAAATATTGTCTTCAACACGTCTCATCATGTGTAGGGTCAATTCATTTTTTCACATCAAAGCCTAATATGTGCAAAATTTATTTAAATGAGTGACAACAAGAATTGAACCAATGACCTTCATGTGCTTTGATATCAAGTTGAATCATTTGATCTAAAATCTTAAGCTATTACATAGGATAACATATATATCGTTTAAATACCGTCCTCAACAAAGAGGCACGTAGTCATACATACATCAAACTATACTTGCACACCAATAGACTTTCTTGGTTTTTGGCATACTTCATAGTTTAGATACAGCAAGCTTTATCAGATCCTTCCTTAGAATCTTGCCTGAGGAATTTTTGGGAATGGAAGCTGTGAAGGCCACTCGTCGAATCCTCTTGTATGGTGCTACTTGTTTAGCGATAAAATCCATTACTGCACTCCCCGATATACAACTGCCTGTTTTCCTCACCACATATGCCATGGGAAATTGTCCAACCTCCGCATCTGGGAACCTAAATTATAGCATTCACAAGGTCAATTTTATTCATATTATCTCAGAAGGCTCAAAAGTTGTTCATTTTCATCAGACAAATGTAAAATACGATGAAACCAGAATTTAAAGTTACTTACGGTATAACAGCTGCATCAGTAATTTCCGGGTGAGTGAGTAACAAAGCCTCTAATTCTGCTGGCGGAACCTAAGATGTTAAGTATATAATTTATTAGTTGGAAAACTTTCTTTCAGTCCACATGGAATTCTTGGAAAGGAATTTCAGGAACATTGTTCAATTAGTGTCCAATCCCATTTTGAGTTATCATCAAAAAATCAAGTGCCATTTAAGGAAAGAACGAAGGAAAGAACGAAGATCTCCTACGAGAATGGTCCATAAAGATTAATGAAGTTGATTCCAGATTAGTGTAACTTTTTGTTGTTCAAGAAAAGACCAAGTGAATCAATGTTTTGTATTCACCTGGTAGCCCTTGTACTTGATCAGCTCCTTCAACCGATCAACAACAAAAATGAATCCATCCTCATCGACATAGCACAGATCTCCAGTTCTTAACCATCCCTCAGAATCTAGGACTGATGCCGTAGCCTCTTCATTGCTAAAATAACCTACAACAACATCAATTTATACATAGATTAAAATAACAAAAGTAGTAATCCAATCCAACTGGGAAATGCACAAAGGTGAATTTAGTACCAAAAGGAATGAGATATCTATAAGTTTCATAATCAAAAACAGTCTTAATGAGATCCCATGTGAGAACGTTAATCGCGATCATTACAACACGATTTTAATAGACGTGACAAAGAAACAATGAACCTGAATATTTTGGATCTTACTTATAATTTATTAATGTTAGGAAACTGATGGTTATAATAGACGTGACAAAACGAGTCATTAGTTACCAAGCCAAAAATGAACCACAATTTGCTTTAAGTATGTTGAGGTCATTCACTCCATGCATATAAAATACACGATGACATCAAAAAGATGATTAGCAAATTTTTCTCACCTAACCAAACTTTTTCCTCTCTATTAACTTTTTGCTAATCGATCAAAGAGAAGAAAATGATTATTTGAGAAGAAGATATTTCAGCGTGTATTTCTTCATCCCAAGCATGTCTATTTATTGATTTCTATTAAGACTTTATAGTAAATGAATCTTTAATTAATGACATGTATTAGCCATTAATTGATTGATCTCTAATTGATTCCGTTAGTAGTTCACGTTTTGTTTGCCAACTATAGTGTCACTTATGAAATCATGCTTTATTACTTTTGTTTAAATGTGGAATAACTTGATGGAATTAATTCGTCCCTTTTAGTTCCGATTCTTGTACTTGTGAATGTTCTCCTCATCTTCTTAGATTCGCATTTTTAGGTATGAGCTCGTCAATATAGCTTTATGAATTTTTATTAGTTAAGACCACTATATAATTATTGAAATCCTACTGAATTTAATCTAATTAACTTGTCATGGTTGAATGGCCACCAAATCCACATTTTTGGTGGCCAAACTACTGATCAACCTGCTGATTTAGAAATTCAAGAGAATTTCTGTAGAAAAATATTAGAGAATCAAATCAAACCGAAGGCCTGTGTATTCACAGTTTCCTTAAATCGAATTCGCCATCTCACCGGAGTGCGAGAAGTTTTGATCGGTGTTCAATTCCTAGGATACAATCGGTTGTCGGTTCACGCTGCACTACGTTAACCGCGTGCGAACTAATTGTGATATACTTTATCTCACAAAGAAATTATAAGCACAAGGAAGAACTTGAAAATGAGAAAAAGAAGATTGTTATTTAGAGGAAGAAGCTTTCATTTCACTTGTGATTTTTCAACTTAGAGAGACTCCTATTTATATCAATGGAGGAAAAACTAGCTCATTAATCAAGGAGTTAAACCATTCATTGATAAAAGAGTTAAAAATATGAAGGGACTTGAGTTACTTGAGTTACAACATATGAAGAGACTTCTATTCAATATTTTCTATTACTTCTATTCAATATTTTTCATAACATGAAGGGACTTGAGTTACAACATATGAAGAGACTTCTATTCAATATTTTTCATTACTTCTATTCAATATTTTTCATTACTTCTATTCAATATTTTTCATTACTTCTATTCAATATTTTTCATTCAATTCTAACAATTTCAAGCAACGAACATTATAGAGGATTGTTTTGGAATTCCGCAATATTATCCTTTGACTTCACGTAGTCCAAAGTGATAATACCTTGTGAGTAGTTGTCGAATGGTATTGTGTCGTCTTTGAATATGGCGAGACTTACCATTACATATATTGCTATGTGCCCTGCCAATTGTTGATTGATTATCGCAATAAACACAAATTGTAGGCACAGGCTTTGACCATCTTGGAATATTCTCAACAAACTGGCGAAGCCACTCTACTTCTTCAGTTGCTTTGTCCAAAGCGATGAACTCTGATTCCATTGTAGATCTTACGATGCAAGTTTGTTTGGACGATTTTCAAGAGACAGCTGCACCACCAAGAGTGAAAACATATCCACTAGTAGACTTGGTATCTGACATATCTGATATCCAATTTGCATCAGCATACCCTTCGATTACTGCAGGGTATCTAGAATAGTGCAGTCCAAAATCACGAGTGTGCCTTAAATAATGTAGCACCCTAAAAATGGCTTTCCGGTGGACAGCACCTAGGTTACTCATGTAGCGACTCAATCTGCTAACTGAGTATGCTATATCCGGTCTCGTACTAGTCATTAAACACATTAAACTCCCAATTATCCGAGAATATTCTAACTGTGATACACCATCACCAGTGTTCTTGGATAAGTGGAGACTCAAATCCATTGGATTCCTGGCCACAGTGGTATCTGACTTGTTGAACTTATCTAGTATCTTATCAATGTAATGAGATTGAGATAACACAAGTCCATTTGGTGTTCGAGTAATTTTTACTCCCAAAATGACATCCACGAGACCCATATCTTTCATGTCAAAGTTCGAGTTTAATATATTCTTAGTGGCTTTTATAATCTTGTCAGAGCTACTGACAAAAAGCATGTCGTCACGTATAGATATAGTATAACATATCCATCATTAGTGTCCTTGACATATACACACTTGTTGCACTTGTTGATTCTAAAATCACTAGAAAGCATAGCATTATCAAACTTTTCATGCCATTGCTTCGGTGCTTGCTTCAAACCATACAGCGATTTAACCAGTCTACAAAGTTTCCTTTCTTGACCTAGAGTTGTAAACCCCTCTGGTTGCTCCATGTAGATTTTTTCATTCAAATCTCCATTTAGGAAAGCTGTTTTTACATCCATCTGATATATTTCTAGATTTTGCAAGGCCGCAATAGCAATTATCATCCGGATAAAAGTTATTCTCGACACGGGAAATTAAGTATCAAAGTAATCTAAGCCTTCCTTTTTGCTGATAACCTTTGATTACTAGCCGAGCTTTATATTTACAATGGAGCCGTCTGCTTTCATCTTCTTCTTGAAGATCCACTTGTAGCCCAAAGGCTTACTGTCCGGTGGAAGATCTACTAATTCCCAGGTATGATTCTATAGAATGGAATCGATTTCACTTTTGATGACTTCTTTCCACAAATGACCATCTGGAGAAAATATAGCTTCTTTATAGCTTTGAAGATCATTCTCCATCAAATATGTGAGAAAATCAGGGCCAAACGTCTTAGAAGTTTTGGTCATTTTGCTCCGTCTAGGCTCATCCTCACCTTCTTCAACTGGATCTTTACTGCTGTCAGAAGCAGAGATTCCATTGTCCGTTTAATAGGAGTTAACTATTTAGGAAACTTACAAGGAAATATATTATCAAAGAATTGTGCATTCCTAGACTCCATAATCGTGTTCGGATGAATATCAGGTACATTCGAATAATGCACAAGGAACCTATATGCACTACTATTTTGTGCATAACCACTGAACACACAATAAATTGTCTTAAGTTCAATCTTGACCTTCTTAGGAGGAGGCACCAAAACTTTAGCAAGACACCCCCACATTCGTAAGTATTTATATGAAGGTGTCCGAATTGTCCAAAGTTCATACGGAGTCTTATCCATATTCTTTCTTAACACTTTATTCAAGATGTAATTTACGGAAAGAATAGCTTCTCCCCACATGTTCTGTGGTAATCCAGAACTAATCAACATAGCATTCATCATTTCCTTTAAAATTCTATTCTTACGCTCAGTAATTCTGTTCTGCTGAGGTGAATAAGGTGCAGTAATTTGGTGAATTATTCCATGTTTAGCACAAAATTCACCAAACGATGATTCATATTCACCACCACGATCACTCATTGGCACCTTTATTTTCTTACTAAGTTGATTTTCAACTTCATTCTTATAAAGAATGAATTTATCGATAGCTTCGTCTTTGCTTTTAAGAAAGTACACATAACAATATCTCGTGCTATCGTCGACAAAAGTAATAAAATACTTATTACCGCCTCGTGTTTGGACAGATTTCAAGTCACATACATCACTGTGGACTAGTCTCAATGGCTCAATACTTCTTTCAATACTATGAAACGAGGACCTAGTAAGCTTAGATTCAACACATGTTTCACATTTATGATTTGAATCAATTTGAAACCCAGGCAAGTAATTTAGTTTGCTTAGTCTACGTAAAGCATTGTAATTTACGTTACCTAGTCTACCATGCCACAGATTAGGAGATTCAAGCAAGTAAATAGAAGGAGTTTTCTCATTACTCATAACAGTTGGGGTTACAACAATTACATTCAATTTAAACAGGCCATCAGTCATATAGTCTTTCCCAACATAAACTCCTGTTTTGGTAATCACCAGTTTATCCACCTCAAAGATCATGCGGAACCCATTCTTGCTCAGAAGAGACCCAGAGACCAGATTCTTGCGAATCTCTGGCACGTACAGCACATTAGTCAGAGTAAGCTCTTTGCCAGATGTCATCTTCAGCATCACCTTGCCTTTACTAAGCACTTCAAAAGTTGCAGAATTTTCCACGAACAACTTTTCACCATTTGTAACTAGTGCAAAAGTAGTGAACATGTTCTTGTTGGAGCAGACATGGCAAGTGGCCCCAGTGTCCAACCACCACTCCTTTGGGTTAGACCCCACCAGGTTAACCTTACTAATCACCATCGTGAGGTTTAGCTCAGACATTTCATCTGAGAGATGATTTCTCTCATTTCCAACCATATTAGCCTGAGGATGTTGCTTATTATCCCTCCGAGGCTGACGGCAGTCTACTGATCGATACCCAACTTTGTCATAATTGAAGCATTTTCCATTGAACTAGAACTTAGGTTTCTTTCCTACCCCACATGCAGGCTTCAACTGAGACCCTTTCGTAGCCTATTTTTGATCTTTTCGATTTCTGTTACCCTGTTTGGCTTTAAAGGAGTGAACTTTCTTAGTACTAGAACTTTGGCCGTACTCCAATACATTAGCCTTCTCAGAGTAAAAATTCTCTGACTTACGTTCAACCCGTTTGTTATCCTCCTCAATGCGCAGCTTGATAATTAAATCCTCGAAAGACATCTCTTTCCTCTTATGCTGCAAATAGCTTCTGAAAGCCTTCCACTGAGGAGGTAGCTTGTGAATAGGAGTAGCCACCTGTAGAGATTCTGACATGGTTAGACCCTCAGCATGCATTTCTTGCAAAAGCACTTGATACTCCTGCACTTGGCTTACCATTGAACGTAAATCAACCATTTCGAAGTCCATACACCGACTGGCTAATAATTTCTTAGATCTCGCATCTTCGGTCTTGTATTTCTTTTCTAAGGACTCCCAGAGCTCCTTAACAGACTTCTTTACCACATGTATGTGATACAAAGAATTCTGTAGGTCATTCAAGACATAGTTGCGGCACAAAAAATCAGCACTTTTTCAAGCGTCCCAAGTTGCACGCCTATGCACATCAGTGTCATTTTCTACCACGATAGGGGCATCCTCAGTGAGGAAACGTGTAAGGCCCAACGTAGTAAGATAGAAAACCATCTTATCCTGCCATGTCTTAAAATCAATACCAGCAAACTTATCCGGTCGAATTGCATGATTCATCGAAAATGGAGCATGAAACGATGGCAAAGGTGCCGAAGCCACAACCCTAGGCACTGGCAAAGGTATTGTGCCAAATTGGATTGCCGAGGCCGCAGCCGAAGGCAAAGTGGGGGTTTACTCCAACATGAGGAATCCTGCCTCCAATTATCCCGTCAATGGGAGAAATGTCAGTCGTGGTCTCCATAGGGTTAATAACGGTCATTGTAGGATTTGATACACCAGTACCAACACTGTTGCTTCCGTTGTTCACATCGTTATTTCCATGTGACAACTGACACTATTGAACCGGAACAAGCAACAAATAATTTAGAATAATTATAAGTTTGTAAAGTTGTATATAAATTCGAGATCAAGTTATCTGTTCAGAAAATAAAACTGCAGAGTTGAAGAACAGATTATTTTGTCAAGTTATTAACAACTTAACAATCATTTAAAATGAATTAGAAATCATGCAAAAACCATGAACTGGAAAAATTGACAAAAATTAATGAACAAAATTTGATTTACTAAAGTCAATTCGATTTAACCTTGTAGGTAAATATTAAAGAATCAAATCAAACCTAAGGCCTGTGTATTCACAGTTTCCTGAGGATCGAATTCGCTACCTTACTAGAGTGCAAGAGGTTTTGATCGGTGTTTGATTCCTAGGATACAATCGATTGTTGGTTCACGCTGCACTACATTAACTGTCTGCGAACTACCTGTGATATACTCTATTTCACAAAGAAATTATAAGCACAAGGAAGAACTTGAAAATGAGAAAAAGAAGATTGTTGATTAGAGGAAGAAGTTTGCATTTCACTTGTAATTTTTCAACCTAGAGAGACTCCTATTTATACCAATGGAGGAAAAGCTAGCTCATTAATCAAGGAGTTAAACCATTCATTGATAAATGAGTTAAAAATATGAAGGAACTTGAATTACTTGAGTTACAACATATGAAGAGACTTCTATTCAATATTTTCTATTACTTCTATTCATTATTTTTTATAACATAAAGGGACTTGAGTTACTTGAGTTACAACATATGAAGAGACTTTTATTCAATATTTTCCATTACTTCTATTCAATATTTTTCATTCAATTCTAACAATTTCAAGCAACGGACATTATAGAGGATTGTTTTGGAATTCTGATGTCAAGAAAATTCATTGCAACTTCTTTGCCGATGTTTTTCTCTTGGTTCTAATTCCTTAGTGATAATCAATTTTTACCCTCCACATGAGTCTCCTACAACCCACAAACATGTCACTATTGTTTAAGAAATTGCACCACTCAAAAACATTTTAGTGATAGCAATGGACCACCACAAGAAAAGAAAATTTAAGAAATGGACACATACTATCATAAAAATAAATTTGGCGTGAAATTAGACTAATGCAACCACGAGAATGATCTCATTGGTCAAGCTTGTTTAGAAGAAAACTTATATGATTAACAGTTTCCACGAAATATTTGGATAATAAGTGAATAATAATTTTAAATGTTTAATTAAAATTAGTATTTAAATTTTACTTCAAATTTAAGGGATTATAACTTATTTCAAACACGTATAAGAACTAATCTTACAAAGCCCCTGCTTGATGCCCATTACCTGAAAATAAAAATGGAGGGAATAGTATTTTTTAGAAAAATAAGTGGTTGAAAAAGAAGGAAAAATTTTCGATTTATGTGTAATATTATTTTATGAAAAATTGTGTAGTTGAAAATAGGAGAGAGAAAAATGAAATGTAATGTAATTTAATTTAATGGGGATCAAACAAGTGTAAAAGTAACCACTAAAGTCATGTTTGATAAGATGGGGTTGTTGATCAAACAATAATTATACTTTGACGCATGATTTGACTCCACTAGAAATTTTAAAAAAATTAGCATTCGTTTGAGTCTCATTTTTTATTGAGAATATATTTTAAAATAGTAAATTGACGAAAAATGTGTAATTAAAAAATAAGAAAAAAATTTTAATTTACATATAATATTATTTTATTAAAAATGTGTTATTAATATATATATATTTTTTTTAAACTAAAAAGCCACCAGGGCCAAAAACAGGCAAGAAAAACAGGGGGCGCCATCTCCATCGGAAGGGAAACACAAAAATCAGGGTTGATTTTAAAAATAACGAAAGGTTTAACGCACTCACACAATATTTTGTACCTTTCATAATGGTGGGCCCCTTCAGCCACAGCTCGCCCGTGCGATTCACCGGCAGCGCCTCGCCACTTTCTGGATCCACAATCTTTGCCTCCATTCTCGGTGCCAGCAGTCCCGCCGTACCGTACCGGCGAGTCTCTTCCAAAGAGTCCGTCGAGGCGCCTATAGCTGTTGATTCCGTCAACCCATAGCCCTGCAATATTGTTACATTCGGATACTTCTCCAGGAAATACTCTGTCACCTCCGTACTTAAAGGCGCTCCACCAGACACGACAGTCTGCAAGCTTCTTAAATCGTAGTTTCTCTTGATCGCTGCCGCGTTATTCACCAGAGCCACCAGCATTGGAGGCACTAATGGTAAATAACTGGCAGAGTACTTCTGTATAGCCATTAACATATCATCCAACTCGAATTTTGATAGGATTACTATTGTAGAGCCGGCGGCTAATAGACCGGTAGCAAAAACTGCTAAGCCGTAGATATGAAACATGGGTACTGTGCAGATTGAAGTTTGATTTTCTTCATCTAATTTGAATCGACTCACAATTGTTTGAACCATTGCTATCAAATTTCTGTGCGATGAAACAACCCCTTTGCTTATGCCGGTGGTACCGGAAGAATATAATAGACTGGCTGTGTCATCTTGACTCACTCGTTCCTTTACTCGGCTTTGATTCGGTTCTCTTTTCATCATTTCAACTATGGTTTTTACAATCTTTGACTCGCTGGTGTATGAGTTCCCGGAGTCGAGGAGGACGATGGGTAGTTTTGAATCTGCGAGTTTAGGCAGGAGCTGGGGTACAGTGAAGACTAGGACAGGCTTCGAATCAGCGATTTGCTTGGCGATTTCCGGGGGAGTGTTGAGGGGATTTGTGGTGGTGATGATGGCGCCAAGAGACATTACGGCAAGGCAAACAATGGGAAAGTAGATGGAATTGGGACTGAGGAGGAGGACAACGTCGTTTTTGCGGATGTCCATGTCGACGGAGAGGCAGGTAGCGACAGCGTCGACGGCTCTCCAGACGTCTGGAAAACTGAGCTGACGGCCGGTGGATGCGTCAATGAACGCGATCTTACCACGGTGAGATCGTGACGATATGAAGGTTGTGACATCAATGGAGTCGTTTGAGGGTAAAGGGATTGGTTTGCGCTTGCTGTAGAAGATGGAATTTGCTTTGCAGAAACCGCTTCTTGGATCAATGGAAGGAGAAGGCAGCTCGTTGAGTTCCGCCATGCATGAAGAAACAAGAAGCTTTTTTCTAGATAAGATTCAAGAACAAAGAATATAAAATATCTCTGATCAGTTGGGGTGCTTTACCACTTCAACTCGCACAAAAATGTTTCTACCGGTAGCATCATGGAAACTTTAGATTTTGAACACAACAAGCTGACCTTTGTTTGAAGAATATTGCTGTAGTGGCATAACAATTTATCATTTGATGCATAGAGTAATAAAAAATTATAATATTAATGTATCAAATAATAAATTGACATGAGTATGACATGTAAGATGAATATCAATCATTTTCATTATGAATAAAATTACTCTTCTTTGAAAAATGTTCCTCGTCTTTACTTTCCAGTGCAACAAGCTTAGCCGTGGATTAAGATGTTTGAAGTTAATAAACAGTCAAGATGTGGTTGGAAGGCATTTAGATTATCGATGCGGCAAAATGCCAAACGACTTGTGAGAATGATCTCGTAAGTGACCGCGCACTCATATGCCCGGTGTGAGTCCTCTATGAATAAAATAATCACAACCTTAAAAAAAAAAAAAAAGTGTTGAACCCCAACTTTAAGGGTCCCCCATCGCCCCTGCCCTAGAGCATCTCGCGGGTACTTAGCACGACTGTATTAATGCAATCTAACAGACAGATCTTAATTTCCCACGTGTATTCTTTATTTTCTTGGCCATTTGGAGATGGAGAGAGAGAGACTCTGATTTTAAAAATTATATAAACCTGCCATATTACATATACTTACAATATGGGATTCAGGTACCCATACACCCATTAAGAACCATGACAAACCTCCGACTCGATGCTCACGTCGAGCATGTGCCCATCCACCCTAAGTGGAGAGACATGATACCTGCTTTGATACCATTGTCATAAAATTTGGAAAAATCAAATTCCAAAAGTTAGCCATTAAGGTTGGAGAATCCAAGCATAAGCCACACAAAAGAAACACATACTTCCGATGTGGGATTCAGATGTCTATACACATTATACCCCAATGGGAACTGTTGCGTGTTGTCACCCCTGTCCTACCCACCTGGGCCAGTGGCCCACTCATCCTGATCCACGTGGCATTCCTGCCGAGGTGGCCCATATTGCCGAGGTGGGTTATATCCGAGCTGCTTCTAACCGAGGCCCATGGCCCGAGGCTTGGAAGCCTTTGGTTGTAGCTGAGGTCCTCAAATGGACGAAGCCCCGAAGTTGATACGCGAGCCTCAACCACAAGCATCCTCCATGGTCACTTCTCCCAAGAGATCGCCTGCACGGATCTTATTCGAATGATTGATGGAATGTCTGTCATAAGCATAAAGGTCAAGTCTTGTCACTAGCATGGAGGCCCTGCACAAGCAATAAATGCGCCGTAAGCTAGCGAGTCAAATCCCATGCCTAAGACCAGACGTTTAAGCCAAGGAGATAAGGCCACGTGCCACTTCATCCAAGGGCTCCCATTCCATATGTATAACTATAAATACCCCCGTTGTATAATGTCAAAAGGCTAATGCAAGAATCAATACTAAAAACTACATTTTACTCAACTCTCTCCCATTTACTAGCAATACACAAATCGAGTTTATACATTTTTGCGTATACATCTACGAGCACCGGTTGGTAATTATTGTACAATCGGATTACGAACAACCCGTCGGATCCCGAACGTTACCGTCCCGCGTCGTTGGGCTACTCCCACGCCCCTTTGAACCGCTCATTTAGACCGTCCACGTGTCTTAGCGTGTTGGACATTCGCCCACGCAAGCGCGGGTGGGACCGGCATCTGTTGGCACACTTTTTGGGGTCAACAGATTGGCGCCGTCTGTGGGAAACCATACCATAACCACGAGCAACCTTGTGGTAAAAGCTTACTGAAAAAACATTTGGGCAACCCCCCTTGAAAAAGGATTTGTTCTTGAAAAAGAACAGGAGGAACCCCTATCACTTAGAGAAATCTAAGTTTGATAAAAGAAAAATGAGTTCTAATGAAGATACTCCCCCAAGGAGGGTAAGAGAAAATACGAATATGCCTCTCCAGCCTGCTGCCCCAGTAGTTCGGCAGAGGCTCCACCACCACCAAAGGAGAGGTGGGATGCGTGCGACGGCATGACTATCAAGAGAAATGGCTACTATGGCAGCCAACATGAGGGATATAGCCAACCAAAACTTGGCCATGAGAGAGCTCATGGTCCAGATGCAAGGCCAAGGAGGTTTCCCCATTTCTCCATATGCCCCCCATGGGCCCTATTAGCAAGAGGACGAGGTCCAAAGTCATAGGGCTGCCTCGCCAGACTATGACCGAGGTGAAAGTCCATTCGAGAGGGAAGTGGGAGTTGACATTTCCTCCAATTATGCATCTGGCCGACCCTCCGAGGTCCAAATGAGCCATGATAACTTTCCACCTCCGTATGAGCAAGACCCAAGACAAAGGAGAGCAGGAAGTGTTTTTGACAGAATCAGCCCTGCCGAACCAAGGC